CACTGGGGTGTCTGGAGACATTTTTGGTTGTTCCGACCGGGGCTACTCCTGGCACGGAGTAGGTGGGACCAGGGACGCTACTCAGCCCCCCACCCCCACAGTGCCCGGGACACCCCTACGTAGAATGACCCAGCCCCACATGTAGAGTTGTGCCAAGGTGAATAATAGTAACTAACATTTCATAACGATACCAGCTATTATTATTAATCACATTATTTTAAGTATAATAATTATTTACCGGTTTTACAGATGAGAAAACTGAGGTCCAGAGAGCCTGTATTTTGGACCCCCAGCCCTTCTCAGGTACATGAATCCTGGCTGCTTCCATAACACCCTGTCAGCTTTGCAAGAAGGAGACCCGGTGCCAAGAGGGGATATAACGAAGACTCAAACCCACAACCCCAAAGACAGGCTCAGACCTCCCTGGGTCCCCATCTCAGCTTGGCCACGCACTGGGGGCCCAGGCTGGCCATGTCACCTGCCTCAGCTCTGTGAACCTGAGATGGGTCCCTCCCTCCTTAGCTGAAGCAGTAAAAATAGGAGTCTCCGTGGTGCTCAGAGAGGCACTACCGAGGGTGGTTAGGGGACCTCATCCTGGCTTTGCGAGCCTGGGCACCTCCTGCACTTCTCTGAGACTCTGTTGGCTTGTCTGTGAAATGGGGCATTCATGTCCTAACTCACAGATGATGGAGAGGATTAAATGAAGCAGTCCACAGCTTAGCTTGGTGCCTGGGGCACAGTGAGCACCATATAAGGCTTGGATATTGCTATGATTAAAAACATTTTAATGGTGGTAAAATACACATACATAAGCTTACCTTAATTTATCTTAGCCATTTTTAAGTGCACACCTCAGTGGCATTAAGCACATTCACATGGTTGCGCAGCCATCCCCACCATCCCTTTCCAGAACATTCTCATCTTGCAAAACTGAGACTCAGTCCCCATGAAACACTGACTCCCCATCCCCTGCCCCAGCCCTGGTGCCCACCACCTACTCTCTGCCTCGGTGGATGGGACGCCTCTAGGGACCTCCTAGAAGTACAAGTAGACAGGAATTTTCCGTTTGAGATTGCCCTACCTCATTTAGCGTAACATCCTCGAGGTTCATTTATGTTGTAGTGTGTATCAGGATTTCCTTCCTTTCTAAGGCTGAGTAATATTCCGTCACATGGATGGACCACGTTTGTTTATCAGCTCATCCATCTGTGGACACTCAAGCCGTGGGACCAGCATGATGATAATGGAAAGAGTAAGAGTCTAGAAGGATATTAAAGATGGATCCAATGGGATTCGTCAAGGAATTGGTTAGGGAATGTGGTTTTAAAAAATACACCCATGGGGCACCTGGGTGGCTCAGATGGTTAAGCGTCTGCCTTTGGCTCGGGTCATGATCCCGGAGTCCTGGGATCGAGCCCCACGTCCGGCTCTCTGGTCAGTGGGGAGCCTGCCTCTCCCTCTACCCCTCTCCCTGCTGTGCCCTCTTTCTCTCTCAAATAAATAAATAAAATCTTAAAAAAAAAATACACCCACAAGGGGTGCCTGGCTGGCCTGGTCAGTAGAGCATGTGACTCTTGATCTCCAGGTTGTGAGTTTGGGCCCCATGTTGGGTAGAGAGCTTACTTAAAGTAAAAAACAAAACAAAAAAAAAAATAAAAAAACCATCCACAAATGTTTTGATACTCCTTTAAAAACGTGGAGCCTAATTCTCTTCCCTGTGAGTGTGGGCTGAACTGAGCGACTTGTTTCTTAAAAACAAAATACGGCAGAAGCGACTGTGTCAAAAACCTCTGAGACTAGATCCTAAAAGTCATCCTGCCCTCCCTGCTCTCTCTTGGATCACTTGCTCCAGAGGAAGCCAGTGGCCATGTTGCGAGGACACCCAAGAAGCCCAGGAGGCGCCAAGAGTTGTGTGGATGGGGCTTCCTGGGAGGGGCTTCTCCAGCCCCAGTCAAGCCTGTAATCACTCTCTCTGGCTGCTGTGTGGACAATGGACTAAGGGGGGGCGGGGTGAGAGCAGAGCCACCTGGGAGGCTGCTACCGTGATCATCCAGGTAAGCTTGGATGGTGGCTTGGATTCAGGTGGTGGCAGGGGAGATGGAGAGACGTGGACAGGTTAAGCAAGTACTTAGGAAATAAAACAAACAGGACTTGGGAGAATAAAAGGCTGAGGTGGGGTCTTCATAGACATGGGGAGCTGAAGACAGAACAGCTTGGGTACGGGTGGGGAGAAGACAAGATGACAGGTTTAGTGTGGCCGCATTGAGTCCCTGTCCCTGAAATGTTCAAAGGCCTCCACAAAGGTAGCTACTTGTAGGAAAAGAGTAGACTAGTGGCTCTCAACTCAGGGTGATTCTGCCTGCCCAAGGGATTCTTGGCAGCATCTGGAGAAATTTCTGTCGTCACAACTTGGGGGATGCTAGTGGCATCTAGTGGGTAAAAGAAGGAGATGCTGTTCAACACCCTACAATGCGCAGGATTGTCCCCCATAAACGAAACATCTGACCCAAATGTCAATGTGCAGAGCTGGAGGAATCCTACGGTAGACCAAGGGCTGAAAGAAGCAATAGTCAATTTCAGCAGATGTTGTTTATTCAATAAAGTTTTATTCCTTGTCTTTGCAACAGTCAAGTGCAGATCAAGTTTCCTGGGCAGCTCCCCTTCAAACATTCCACCCCAAGCAGCTGGCAAAAAAGGGAAAGAGGGAAGAAGTTTCCTGTGGCAAGTTTTTAATGGATCTGGCCTCAAGTGACTTACATCACTGGGCCAGATCAGTCACATGGCCATTGGCCACGATCACCTTACGTCCCATTGGCCAGATCAATCACATGGCCACACCTGGCTGCATGGGATGCTGGGAAATGTAGTCTAGCCATGTGCCCAGGAGGAAGAAGGAAAGTGTGATGTGACTAGAGCTAGTCCTTGCCGTGGTGTTATTGTCCTCATTATTTCTGTTATTATTTAGACCTGTCATCTGCAGAGATGACCCTTGAAAGTCATGCATGTTTCAGGACCTGGTAGAGGAGGGTGAGAGGTGCTGCCTGGTATGGCTGGAAGGCTTCCGGAAAGAGGAGGCATGGATGATGTGGCTTTGAAGAAAGCAGATGCTAAAAATCTGAGAAGTGGAAGAATAAGAATGGTGTGGCATCAGGGAAGTCATTCCTTCATACCTGACCATGCAGATCCTTGTAGGCCAGGGTGAGTGCCGTGGGGACCCAATGGGCTGAGGTGGCCTGATTTGTGCTGAGAGCCTTCTAGTTGCTTGAGGAATCAGGTCACCAGGTAAAATACAGGACACCCACTTAAATTGGAATATCAGATAAACAACAAATGATTTTTTAAGCCTCAGTATATCCCAGTTATGGCATGGGACATACTTATGCTAAAATAGTATTGTCCATCTGAAATGCAAATTTAACAGGGCATCCTGGATTTTTATTTGCAGGGAGGACAGAATGTAGCAGACAGGTCAGGTGCAGGTGACTGATGATCATGGATGAGACATGGGCAGATGTGCAAGCCCTGTGTTGGGAGAACTTTGGCTTCTACCCTGAGTAAGGTGAGGTAGCCCTGAGAGGCTGTGAGTGTAGGAGGGCCGTGCCCTGACTTGGGTAAGAGGCCCCCCAGACCCAACCCTGGCACTTGGCAATCACCTGCCCCCGTGGTTTGCCCCGGCCCAGCGTCTTTCCCCTTCAACAGTGCTGACATTTGGGGCCAGATCATTCTCTTTTTTTAAGTTTTTATTTTAAATTTCACTTAGTTAACATACAGTGTAGTATTAGGTTCAGGTGTACAATACAGTGATTCAACATTTCCATACATCCCCCGGTGCTCATCACAGCAAGTGCATGACTTAATCCCCATCACCTATTTAACCCATCCCCCACCCGACCCACCTTCCCTCTGGTGACCATCTGTGTGTTCTCTGTAGTTAAGGGTCTTTCGGGGGCCAGATCATTTTTTTTTTTAAGATTTTATTTATTTATTTGAGAAAGAGCGAGCAAGTGAGCACAAGCAGGGAGAAGCAGGTTCCCAGCTGAGCAGGGAGCCCCACTTAGGGCTCCATCCCAGGACCCTGGGATCATAACCTGAGCCAAAGGCGGTTAACCGACTGAGCCACCCAGGCTCCCCAAGGGGACAGATCATTCTTAATTGTGGGGGTCTGTCCTGTTCACTGTGGGACGTTGAGCAGCATTCCTGACCCCCACCCACTCAATGCCAGGAGCACTCGAAATCATGACAACCACAAACGTCCCCAGACATTGCCCAGTGTCCCCTGAGGGGCAGGATCCCCTTGGGTGAAACCCACTGGGTTAAGGGATTCTATGGACCCCCAGGAGACTACATTCCATAACCATCTGACCGACTGAGGATATCCTGGGATACTGCATATATTTAAATACACACATTGAGTGGGAGGGAGAGAGGAAGGAACTCACAGACGCTGGGGGGGTCACCCTGGTTTCCTTTACTTGATCCATTGGGGATTTATTCTGGTGTTTAGTGTGAGCTAGGGATCAAACTGAATTTTCCCCCCAGATAATGAATGCACGTTTTCTCCCCCTTGGAGCTCTGGACCTTTGGGGCCAGATCATTCTGTGGGGTGAGGCCAGCCTGGGCATCGCGGGACAGTGAGCAGCATCCCTCCCTGGCCCCCACTCACCCAATGCCAGGAGCAGCCCCTGTCCCCCTCGGTGGTGAAAACTAGGACCACCAGACTTTGCTAGTGCGGCTGGAAGGCAGAATCGCCCCAATTGGGGACCCCGGGTCGAGGCACTGTAAGACCCCAGCACGGAAATGGGTCTGGACCCCTAACCAGGGAGGAGGCTACTGGAAGACCTTGTCAGTTCCCTTCATCTTCTCCTGGCCTTCAGTAAACTATCTGGGGCCGGGAAAAACTGATGCCTAAGTGGCTGCATTGTGGGAAGTTTTAGGCACGTGCCATCCACACCCCGACCCATCTGAAGCCCATCTTTGCCAGACAAAAAAAGGGCTGCCCGTAGAGTCTGATAAAGCTTTTAATATTTAGAAGTTTGGGCACTTAATTCTGGTACTCCTGGCTCTCGGGTGATGCTGCCCCCTCCAGCCGTGGGCAGCTGTCTGGGTCCACAGGGGCACTGGTGATGATGATGGGAACCTTGGCCTTCACACTGGTCAGGGACCAGGGCAGGTGGACCGTGCTGACCAGCTCGTAGTGGGTACTCATGATCTCGCCGTCCCGCATGCCGCTGCTCACGGACAGCACCTGCGGGAGGTTGAGGGTGCTGACGATCTTGGTGGTGTTGAAGGGCGTGATCTGAGTGTTGGCCTCCTGCCGGAGCAGCTCACTGCTGTCCACCCGAGACCGCCGCTCTGCACTGGGGGTGAAGCCCTCATATTGCACGTGGATGTAGAGGGCGAAGGTGACCATCTTGATGCACTTGCTGGTCTGGTTGTTGATCTCCGTGGTGAAGACGACCCTCTCCCCCGGAGTAAAAGTGTTCTTTTCCATCTGGATTTGGAGGCAGATGGTGCCCTGGCTGCAGCAGTTGTAGGAGACCTTCTTCTCAGCCTCCACCAACAGAGGGTTCTAGAAGGGGGGATGGACAACTGTGAGGGATGGTGGCCACAAGATCCGCTCGCCTGCCTGACATTCCTCCATCATAGCTCCTGCAAACCTTGAGCTTTTGGGACTTTCCTAAGTAAAAGGCACTGAAACAGGATCTGGAGCCTTGGGGATTTGGCAGCCAAAAGCCTGGCATGATCTCCCGGCTTGCCTTAATCAATACCCTTTGCCTTTCTGAGTACCAATTTCCTCATCATAAGCCTAGGAAATCCACAAGACCCTGGCTTGACCCCCACCTCCCATGCTCACTTGCTGTGTGACCTTGAGCAAGTGCCTTGAATTCTCTGGGCCTTGGTTTTCTAGAAGACAGGAAATGTCTCACAGTCTAAGCCCAAGACTTGGGGCTTACCCAGGCAGTTCAGACTTTAGGAGAAAATATTACGGGCTCTGAATCATGAAAGGAAAACCGTAGAGTTGAAAGTGTGTAGTGTGGGGGCGCCTGGGTGGCTCAGTCGTTAGGCGTCTGCCTTCGGCTCAGGTCATGATCCCGGGGTCCTGGGATCAAGCCCCGCATCGGGGTCCCTGCTCGGCAGAAGCCTGCTTCTCCCTCTCCCACTCCCCCTGCTTGTGTTCTCTCTCTCGCTGTGGCTTTCTCTGTCAAATAAATAAAATCTTAAAAAAAAAAAAAAGAAGTATGTAGTGTGTTTAAATAAATGCCTCAAAATGCAGTCATTCTATCAACTAGTCAGCTGCTGATTTGCAAATAAAGTCGCACATAATGAGTGGCTTCGGTGACATTTTACTTTTTATTTGTGGATAACATGTTAAAGGATTTGATGTGATGTGGCGGGGGGGGGCGCGGGGGGCCTTAGAATGATCACTCTCCACTTTTGCTGGCTTCCGGTGTCTCCTTGTAGAGAAACTTGATACTTTTACAAGCGTGCGTGCGTGCGTGCGTGCGTTCTCTTTCAGCATACCGAGAGAGAGAGAGAGAGAGAGAGAGAGAGAGAGGGGGAGAAAATAGTGTGAAAAATACTGCCCAAACTCCCCTCCCACTTCCCATTAGTGACATCAAGTTGTTCACTTGAAATTGGCCCTGATGGGTGTTATTTTCACCAGGGAAATTGGGAAACATGACACATCACGGCTGGTTGTTAACCATTTCCTAGCACAGCACGGCCATATTCCTAAGACCCGCTTCATCAGCATTTACAAATTCTCCTGATTTGTTTCAGACCTCTGCTCATTTACAAAATGAGATTGCAGAGTTGCACAACCATGTGAATGTACTCAACACTAATGGTTAAGATGGTAAATTTTATGGGTGCCTGGGTGGCTCAGATGGCTGAGCGTCTGCCTTCGGCTCACGTCATGATCCCAGGATCCCGGGATCGAGTCCCGCATCGGGCTCCCCGCTCTGCGGGAATCCTGCTTCTCCCTCTGCTTCTCTCTCTCTCTCCCTCTGTCTCTCATGAATAAATAAATAAAATCTTAAAAAAAAAAGATGGTAAGTTTTATGTTATGTATATTTTGCCACAATTTAAAGTAAAAACATGAGAGATCTGGTTGAAGGCCCCAGGGACCCCCTCCCCAATGCCATCCCCTCATACTCCTTGGCTCCCTTTATCCTGAATTGGGGGTTTATTATATCTGGATTTTTAAAAAAGATTTATGCATTTATTTGAGAAAGAGTGAGCACAAGCAGGAGGGCAGAAAATTCTGCCTCTACCTGGTTGAGCCCCATCATGGGGTTGCTCTCGGCCATGAGTTGGTGAACTTTTTCTGGAAAGGAACTGATGACAAATATTTTAGGCTTTGCAGGCCACACACAGTTATGTGTCATATACTATTCCTTTTTCTTTTTTTTTTTAATCACAGCTCATGGTTAAAACATAGATTTTAGTATCGTGGCAAAGAACACAAATCTGTATTTTCATCTTCACCTAGATCTATGAAAGAGAAATATGTTTCATGAACTACTACTTATGCCTGCTGGTACATTCTGCTTTATTCCATTTATTGTATTCATTTAAAAATGTTCATTGCGGGGTGCCTGGGTGGCTCAGTCGGTTGAGTGTCTGCCTTCGGCTCAGGTCATGATCCTGGAGTCCCGGAATCAAGCCCCACATCGGGCTCCCTGCTGAGCAGGGAGCCTGCTTCTCCCTCTGCCTCTCAGTGCCTCAAAATGCAGCCATTCTATCAACTAGTCAGCTGTTGATTTGCTCCCCCTATTTGTGCTCTCCATCAAATAAATAAATAAATAAAATCTTTAAAAATATATTCACTGCAACCCTCTGGATTTGTTTTCCTGTTATGTTTAGTCTTTCTTTATTCTATTATTTTGCTTTATATAAAACCGACATTTTGTAAACATTAGCTGGTTGTAACCCACCAAATTAAATTTGTTCTGATAAATTCTATATTCTACTTATTCACAACTATTATATCCTGTCCAACACATTGATGTTATAAAAACAAAGCTGTTGTAACCCACCGTATTTGTATTTTGTTTTATTCTTTCATTTTTTTTAAAAAGTTGATTGCAAGGGGCACCTGGGTAGCTCAGTTGTTAGGCATCTGCCTTCCGCTCAGGTCATGATCCCAGAGTCGTGGGATCGAACCCTGTTTCGGGCTCCCTGCTCAGCGGGAAGCCTGCTTCTCCCTCTCCCACTCCCCCTGCTTGTGTTCCCTCTCTCGCTGTCTCCCTCTCTGTCAAATAAATAAATAAAATCTTAAAAAAAAAAAAGTCGATTGCAAGCCACCAACCATATTTTCTTCACTTCCTGTTCTACTTATTTTATTCTCTGTTCTGTTTTCTTATTCTATTGAAAAAAAAACACACAATGTAAGCAACCCACAAAATTGACTTTTTTTTCTGATATTTTCTAGTTTGGTCTTGCGTATTCTTTCATTTTATACAAATATACTTGCACCCCGCTAAACTGATTTTGCAACCCATGATCCGGTCGTGACCTGAGGTTTGAAAAACACTGCTCCAGATCGGATGCCTTTCCTCTCGGGAGACCTGGGGCTGACCCCTGACACCAGGTGACCTCACCTCTACCCTTGCCTCTGGCCCCTTGCCTCCTCAGCGGTCCCCTCCCTCCCTCTCCTCCAGGAGGCTAATTGCAGGCAGTTTTATTCTAAATCCCCCCAGTCTTATTCGAAAATTCCTCGCATGCGTTAGGACCCTGCGGGCATTGAGGAACTTGCTGCCCTAACTCAAGGCCAAGTCCCGGCCTGTACCTGAGAGAGGGGCCCAGCAATTCCAACAGTGGCCCAGTGGAGACGCCCACACGAGGTCAGGCAGGGTGGCCAAAGCGCCCTGATTCCCAGTAATGTCGGGGATACACACCCAACACTGGATTTCCTGGATCTGGGAGTGTTTGGGAGCCCCGCATTCCTTTGGCATATGTGAAGCTTTGGGGGGATTCATCCAAACAGTATTTATTGTCATCAACTTGGTGACAAGTCCAAGGAAAACCCATAGCAGTTAAGACCAGCCTGGTCCCTGCTCTGGCGGGGTGGGGGGGAGGGGGGGAGATGGACACACAGTCGGCTCACTGAAGATGAACCAGGTCATTTCTGATAGGGACAGTGATGAGGTTGTGGCTGGAGGCAAACCAGGGGTGTGAACTAAGGAGAGGTGCGGTGGAGGCTCCCTTGGAGCCAATGGTTAGGAAATGTCTCTGGGACAAGCTCCTTTCCCAAGTGGTACCAACTGTTGAAAGAGACAACACAGCTCTGTCTTTCAAGATTCTAAAGGTACAAAGAGTAGAGAGGAGGTGGGGAAATTGGAGCCCATGTGCAGTGCTGGAGAAAACGTAAAAACAGTCCAGCCACTGTGGAAAACAGGCTGGGGGTTCCTCAAACGTTCAAGGGAGTGATCATCTGACCCAGCAATTGTACTCCAGGTATCTAGCCAAGAGAAACAAGAAGATACATCCATGCAAACATGTAAGGGAATGTGCAGAGGCGTGATTCACAGTAACCAAGAAGTGGCAACCCAAGTATCCATCAATGCACGAATGGATACACGAAATGGGGTCCAGCTGCGCAATGGAATGTCATTCAGCCGGAAAAAGGGATGAGACACTGACCTAGGAGGTGAGTGGAATCAGCCAGACGCAAAGAGCGTCCATATCGTATGATTCCATTTCCATGAAATGTCCAGAACAGGCAAATCCACAGAGAGAGGAAGGGGATTCGTGGTTGCCACGGCCTGGGGGAGAGGGTATGGGGAATTTGAGGGGTGACAGCTAAGGGATCCAATATTTCCTTTTGGTGTGATGACAGTGTTCTAAAATCGACAGTTGGTGATGGCCGCACAACTCTGTGAACACACGGGAAGTCATTCAGTTGTACACTTTCAATGGGTAGTTTATAAGATATGTGAATTATAGCTCAATAAAGCTGTTGAAAACAATTGGAAGGAGAAAATGTTTGCTCCTCCTAGCTCCCCCGCTCCCCTCCCAGGGGGGCATGTCTGTTGCTAGTTTCTGTGATCTCCTTCCGGACACGTTTGTTACACCTGCAAGGAAGTACATTTCTCGCTTGTTCTTGAACTTTGCTGTGCTCACTCAACCCAGTGACTTAGTAGAGGTCCTGATGCTAAGAGCTGCCTTGTTCAGCCTCTGTTTCTCTCTAACTTACCTATAGAGCATTCCTTTGAATACTCCTTTGCTACTTTAATTCCCTTAGCAGTGAACATTTAGGCTGATTCCAATTTCTTGCCGCGAAAACATTGCTGTGGGAGGTCACAAGTGAAAGAATATCAGTAGGAGAAATTTCTAGAAGGGAAATGGTTGGGGCAAAGTGCATGTTCATTTTAATTTGAATAGATACAGCTAAATTGCCCTCTGTTGGGGTTGTGAGAGTTTACTTAGCCAGGTGAGTGCCTACATGGCTTCTGAACAAAGATCTGAAGGATGAGGGGGAAGGATAGGAAGGTCATATTATAGAGTTCCAGGTGGAAGGCAACAGCCTGTGCAAAGGCCCTGGGGCAGGACCAGGCCTGGTATATTGGAGGGAACAGTGAGGAGGCCTGTTTGGCGGGAGCAGAGAAAGCGGAGGGGAGAGGGGGCAGATCATGCAGGGCTCTGTGGACGGGGGGGACTTTGGCCTTTACCCTGAATGCAATGGGAGACTGGGAGGGCTGTGGGCGCAGAGGAAGGTCATCACCTGACTGTCTCTGGCCGCTCTGAGGACAGACTGTTGGAGGTCAAGACTCTGCCTCTACCCAGGGGTGTCTGGGTGGCTCAGTTGATTAAGTGTCTAACTCTTGGTTTCAGCTCAGGTCATGATCTGGCGTTTGTGGGATCAAGCCCTGCGTCAGGCTCTGAGCTCAGCATGGAGTCTCCTTCAGATTCTCTCTCCCTCTCTGCTCTTCCTTCTGCCTGCACATGCTCTCTCTCTCTCAAATAATTTTTATAAATCTTAAAAGACTCTGCCTCTACCTGGTTGAGCCCCATCATGGCTCACTGCACCAGAGTGGTAACCTCTGTCCTGGTCCCCCAGCTCCTGCCCTCCCTCTGCCCCCGATTATCTATCCTCCCCAAAGCAGCCAGAGGGCATCCAATGATGACCCCTTGCCCACCAGGGCTCTTACCTGCATCAGGTGAAAGTCCAAGTCTTCCTGAGGCCTCTTATTACCTCCCTGCCCTTACTTTCTTCCCTCTCACCTTCTCCTTCACTCTGTTGCAGCCATGTGGCCCCCTCACTGTTCATCCAACACGCCAGGCACAGTCCTGCCCCAGGGCCTTTGCACAGGCTGTTCCCGCCACCTGGCACCCTCCACCCCAGATATCCCCATGGTTTCCCCGCCTCTGCTCTTTCAGTTCTCTGCTAAAATGTCACCTCCTCCAAAGGGCCTCCCTTGCCCAGTCTGGTTAAGACAGTACTGAGCAGTTGAAAAAACACGCTATTTTCATATCCTCAAAACTTATCTGTAATAACTCCTGTTGCTACTATGATCTTGATTTTTAGATCTTCCCACTTACGGGGGCACCTCCTGGGTGCGCAGACACCACGCTGAGCACTTTGCGGTCTTCATGGGCACCCATCAAGGGAGGTATTATTCTTCTCATTGTACAGATTAGGACAGTCAAGGCTCTGGGAGGTGTTGTGAATTGCTCAAGGCCATCTAGCTAATGAAGTATCTGTCAACGAAATCTTAGGCTGGGTCTCACCCAACCCCAACATTTCACCCCAGCTTCTGCCTCGTGCCCCCTGCACTCTAGATTAGCTCTGACGGGAAGGCCAGAGAAGGGCCATAGTCTGCTCAGGGTAACACAGGGAGCAGGTGGTCAAGTGGGCCTTGAGCTCAGGTCTGGTCATCCCAGGGCTGTTCCACCCCTCCAAGCATCTGCCCTTCCTGGAACCCTCCAGGACCATCCCAGGAGGTTGGCCGGGCTCGAGACGATCCCTGTGACATATATAATAACTAACACTGGTGGTGGAAGCAGCAAGATTCTTGGGGCCCATCCCCCAACCCGTGCCAGGCACTGTGGGAAGTTCGGCAAGCTAGGCACTATCTCTCTGCCCATTTCACAGATGAGGAGACAGAGGCACAGAGAGGCAACGTCATTTGCAGAGGATCGTACAACAGGAAGGTGGGGGCTCTGGGATTTTTACCTGGATCTTGAAAACTAAAATCCAACCTCCCCACCCCCGTCTCAGCCACCATGCTCTGATAACAGAGTCCCCAGGGGAGTGACTTGGGGCCAACATCACTCCACCCACCTCGACTTCTATCTCTGCACCTGGGCCTCCAGGAACCATCCAGAAAACCTCCTCCTCTGCTCAGCAGACCAGAAGCCACCCCTTTTCCTTACTTCTTTTGATGGGGGCACCATCTCCGTTGCCTGAGGGCTCAAAGACCCTGGAGCGTCACCGGGCATCCAGGCCTCCCACCCCCAGGTCACAGGGGAGGCCTCTGAACAGCCTTGACTTACTATAGGGTCAAGGACATTGGGGCCCAGTCATTCTCTGGGGGGGTGTCCTGGGAACTGTGAGGTATTGAGCAGCACCCCTGGCCCCCACCACCTCCATGGCCAACAGCCCCCCCCAGTCCTGTCAACTGTAGATGTTCCAGACACCACGCTGTGCCCCCTGGGGAGGCAGGATTATCCTGGTTGAGGGGCCCCCGGCTGGCTTAGTTCCTACGCCGGTTTCAGATCCACCTTTTGTGAACTCCCTGGACCCCCCCGGAGGAGCCATCAGCACCTTTCCTTCTTCCTGGTGGGGGCTGGCTCTGTTCCCTGCCCTCCCACCTGCCTCTGGTGAGCTTGGAGGACAAGCCCCATCGCTGCCCCTCCCCCATCACTACCTGCAATGGGTTTTCTTTGTGGAAGTCCGAAGTCCCTTGAACCAACAAGTACATTCTCTTCTTCGCCAGTATGTGCTCCCGGCCCATGCAGGAGGCTTGCACAAAGTAGAAGACGTGGCCAATTTTGCTGACGAAGGTAGAAGGAAGCCTGGGAGGTAAGCTGAAATGGAAGTCAAAGGTGTGGCTGCCTGCACTTAACCAATTATCTGAAAGCAAAACACACCGAGGCCATCAGAAGGTTCTAGAATCTTTTTCCTTTTTTTTTTTTTTAACCCCCCCCTTCTTTATTTGTTGTTTTGGCAGGGGCTTTGTTCTGGGCATGGCCCACCTGTCCCTGAGCTAGGCTGAGTTCTGTGTTTTTAGGGATCTGCATGATCCATAAATATTAGGCCTAGGCCTCAGGTGGGCTGGAGGGAGATGCCTGGGTGGATGAGGTGGCTGGGGTGCTCACCCCTACTCTGGGTCTGAGAAACTGGAGGTCCAGCACATTGGTTTAACAAACCCCTCTTGAACCTCTTTCTGTGGGCCAGAGGCTGTTTTAGGCATTATTTTCAGCAGTGAGCAGGGCAGCACAGCTCCCTGCCCTCACAGAGCTTGGGCTTCAGTGCGCAGCATACAGTAGGTGCTTAACATCGGTTGAGTGGCAACTGAGGGCCAGGGAGAAACTCCCACGGCCCCCATTTCTGCAACCTCCCCCATTTTATTTGTTTCTTTCATTCGTCCAAAAGCCTCTCATTATTGTGTCTTGCCCACTGGATGGCAATCCCAGTAACTCCAGGGACCTTGTTTGTTTTATCCATTGCCCCACCCCCAGCCCGTGGCCCAGTGCCGTGTGCAGAAGGTGCTCAATAAATGTTTGTGAAATAAATGAGTAAATCCGTCAGAGGCTTGGGCTTATGCTTTTGAGGGGAAATGCTTGGCAATGGCAAAGGGTGGTGGTACCTGATGCCGGGGGTGTTAGGGTGGGGAGTGTTTGGGTTGAAAAAACACTTACAGAACACTTACTGTATGCCCCACACTATTCTAAGCCCTTTATATACCATTCAGTCACTAAGTCCTCAAAGCAATCTTATGAGTGACCCCTTCTTCTGGTTCCCATTTTCCAGATGGGTTAATGGGACACAGAGAGGCAACAGGACTGCGGAGCAGTAAGGGCTGGTATGTTGCCATTCCTCCCCTAGATATCTGCACGGGTGGTGTCCTTCCCATCACTCAGATCTGAGCTCAAGGTTCCCTCTCCGAAGAGACCTCTCCATGACCTCCCGATCTAAAAATTTTAAAAGTCTAAAATTAAACTCTGTTCGGCCAGGCGTTGGCCGAGAGTTGTGGCATACCTGGGAACACTCCCATGAGCACATTTTGGAAAGGACATGCGGCTCACAGGCAGCTTAGCCTCCCTGATGTTTGTCCAGACCGTGGAACTGAACCTGCTGGAGTTGGGGCCTGGTTATTCTCTCCCTGGAACGTCTTCCCTGCCTCCTCTCTCTTTCCCTGGGACCATAGGACTCCTTATTTTGTCTCCTTGGCATTTCACTGCCAGAGGGAGATTTATCTGTCAAATAATAAGACAGATTTTTTAAAAAAGATTTTATTTATTTATTTGAGAAGAGAGAGAATGAGAGATACAGAGCACGAGAGGGAAGAGGGTCAGAGGGAGAAGCAGACTCCCTGCCGAACAGGGAGCCCGATGCGGGAACTCGATCCCGGGACTCCAGGATCATGACCTGAGCTGAAGGCAGTCGCTTAACCAACTGAGCCACCCAGGTGCCCAAGACAGATTTTTTTTTTTATTGGCCTTCCCAAGTGGTCATTGGGCTAAGGATAGCATTTTTTTCCCCCAGGGAAACGACTTTGAAAGTTCATTTCGAATATCTGGGTTCTGATCAGCTCCTCATGTCTTATTATTTTCGTGTTAAAGTGTATCTGATGGTCATTGTTATACATAGCTTCCCTCCTGGGGAGGAACCAGGCCTCTGCCCATTTCTGGTATCCCTGGGGGTTTGCTGATCCACTAGCAGTTGTGTTTACCTTCCAGACCCAGGTTCCTATTATGGCTAGAGTTGGCTGCTGGCTTTGTCCTTACCCTCTACTGGGAATGTCTTCATCTTGTGCACGTAGTCGGCCTTGTTGTTGCAAATAACATCTCTGCTATAATCACGGGATGCCCCGATTTCTTCATTCCACTCCACATAACCCCTTCCCACGAGCTCCACCTTCACAATAGGGTCCACCAGGGTGCTGTTCAGGATTAGAACCACCTGCCCTTTTATGCTGGAGCCGGCTAGGTAGACTGCATCCTTGGGCAACACTAATTCGATCGACTTCACCACAGACATGGGGGGTTGGGATGGGATAGAAACATCCTCCCTCCTCCCCCATGCCACTGAGATTTCCGGTTCCTTTGCCGCAGTGAAGTCACCTGTCTGTGACATCATCCAGCCAGGGTTCTGGGAAGGGGGTCCCTAGTGGCTGGGATGGGAGATGAGGCTGTTGTGCAGGGGTGGGACAGCTTGGGAATTCCAAAGTCCTCACTGGTGTATGAAATGATACCTTACCCCTTTTTCCTAGGAAATAACAGATAAATAAGCCAAACCAACCGCAAGGCCCTAGCATTCCTGCCCCATAGGGAATACCTGTCATCTTGCCGGGAGGTTAGAGGCCTGGGTGAGAAGAGCTCCTTATGAGCTCTACTTAGAGATGGGGAGGAATGAGGAATGAGCCCCAAGGTCTTTTCTGCTCTATCAGATGGCCCCCAAATGTGGTATGTGCGCTTCTCAGGGTTCATACACTGGTTAAGCTCATACACAGTCATTGTCATTTTAATGGCTCTCTCTATATACCAACCAGTCCCTGTTAGAAAAAAATTATAGAGGGGCGCCTGGGTGGCTCAGTCGTTGGGCGTCTGCCTTTGGCTCGGGTCATGGTCTCGGGGTCCTGGGATCGAGCCCCATGTCGGGCTCCCGGCTCGGGGGACAGCCTGCTTCTCTCTCTCCCTCTGCCTGCCGCTCTGCCTGCTTGTACTCTCTCTCTGTCAAATAAATTAAAAAAATCTTAAAAAAAAAAGAAAAAGAAAAAAATTATAGATATGGCCAGGACATGAAATCTGGTGTGTCCTGACTGAATGCTTAGAGCATTGTGTCCTCCATCTAAACATGAACACCATCTCCTTACACATCTGACATTTCTCTTTACACCTGTGTCTCCCCCATTGAATGGGAAGTCCTTGCAGGGTGGGACTTAGTCTCTGTAAGCTTTGTGCCCACCAACGTCTGCTTGACTCCGGGCCTGGTTCAGACAAGAGGGGTGGCAATAGGTTTGTTGAGTGACTTAACGACCTTCAAGAATATATCATTTTGCCAAAAGGAAACTGAGGCCTTTTGCCCTCTAATGGGTTTCCTGGTGCCTCACTCGCCCATGGGCTGATGCCTAAGCAGGAGGACCACTGGAGCAGAAGAGGTGTCAGGAAGTGTCCATTCTCCAGACTCTAGCAGGCCTCCTTCATTGTCTTTGTTGTATCTCCCTTTATTATTTCACGTGATGTCTTTTGTAGACATCGCCATCTTGTCTCCCTGAGTGGTTTGTAAGCTTCTTCTGGAGAGGCCTGGCATAGTCTTTCACTCATGTTTGTTAACGAACCTAGGCAACCTCTCCAACTTTCTCAAAATGACTGGAGAAATGGGGCCCTCATTTCTTTCTGCAAGGAAAACCAGACCTCTTTTTGAGTTACTTGACTTGAGATATCCAAGGGGCCTGGGCTGAGCCCTGCTCCAAATACACCTGAAGAACGTATTCCCTCTTTTGGTCCTGTTGGGTTTTTGCAATAGTACGGGCAAACAAATGATATGCTCTCACCAGGAATAGGCCAGGTTCCCATGGCCGATTCTCAATGTGAAAGATCTCATCTGCCTCCCAGACTCAGGGAGGCCTGCCTGATACCTGCCCATCCCTGAGATTGTGGTCTATACTCGGCTGATGACTGTGGGTCCAGAAAGACACTCAGTAGCACAGACGGAGTCCTGAAGTTGGAGAAAGTTAACAGCAAATTCTGGACTTTGGATTTTGGACTCTATCTGTTCCCTATGACTTCTATAACAAATCCCCACAATTTTAGTGGCTTAAAAAACACAAATTTATTCTCCCATAGTTCTGGAGGTCAGAAGTCCAAAATGGGTCTTAAGCAGCTAAAATCAAGGTGTTCTAGGGTTCTAGGAGAGAATCTGTCTCTCACCTTTTCTGGCCTCTGTAGGTTTCCCACTTTCCTTGTCTGTTGGGTCTCATCATTCCAACCTCTACTTCCCTTGTCATTTCTCCTTCTCTGACTTGGCCCTTTTGCCTCTTTCACTTGTTAGGACCCTTGTGATGATTTTGGACCAGCCTGCATCATCTAGGATACTCTCCCCCACCGGAAGATCTTTAATTTGATCTCATCTGCAAAGTCCCTTTTGCCACGGAAGCTACCATATTCACAGGCTCAGGGATTAGGATATGACTAGCTTTGTTAGAGGGAGGACATTCTTCTGCCTACCACTTGGAAGAACAGCAGAAGGACCAGTGCCTAGAAGGGACTCTGCTCGGGTCCAGAGAAACCTGTACACACAGAAGTTGGGAGGTCATCATTCTTCTGCTTACAGCCTTCCCGTGCTGCTCACTGCTCTCAGGAGATAAAGACCAAAAGCCCCCTTGAGGCCTTAGATGACACCTCTCTGACCTCGTCCCCTCTCTGCCCAGCTACACCGGCCTCCTGGCTGCTCCCCCTACATTTCTAAGCCTTTTCCGGCCTCTGAGCTTGCCCGTCCCTCCTCGACCCATCTGTCCTTGGTTTCTATCTCAGATCTCAGCTCAAATGTCATCCGTTCAGAGAGGCCCACCTCTCCACCTCAACCAGAATGTCCTCTCTGCGCACCCCCAGCTACTGTCCTGTCTTCATTGCTCGCAGTGGTATCTGAAATGATTTGCTTTACTTATTCATTGTTTGCCTGTCTCTCCAGACAAGAAATTACCCTTCTGGAGACCACCAACAGGGTTGGCCTTGCCCATTGTTGCCGCCCCCACCCCCCAGCTCCGAACACTGTGTCCAGGCGCTTTGTAGGTGCCCAGCATGGGTCACTGTGTGCCCGCCAAGACTGGCCAGAGCAGAGCAGGCAGGGTGGAGGGGGCAGGGCAGTCCTGCCCGCCTGGACAGCGGGAGAAGGCGGGAAAACGAGGCGGGAAAACCCAGCAAACAAGCCCTGCGGGTGGGTAGGGTGGGGAGGTCTAGCAGGCCCTGACGCCAGGAAATGGAGCTTGGGGCCATCAGGCTGGCCATCGGGGTACAGGCAGTCTCGAGAGGGGCCCCCACATTCTACTGCAGTGTTTAAACATTGATTCCAGCCTTCCTTGCCCTCCTGGTCAGCGCATGCCCGTGCCCCGGGAGAGGGGCTGTGGAAAAGGACTTAAAAGGTCAGGGGGACTCTACCCGGGGTCCCTGCCCAGGGGTGTCCCTAGGGCTCCTGAGGGACACGCAGAGTCGGGGGGGGGCCCAGCTCCCGCCACTGGGTCGGGTCGCACACTGGGTGCGCCCAGCAGAGCGCGTAGGGCTGGGCGGGGCCGTGGCCCGCTGGGCGGAGTGGGGGTGGATGGAGGAGGGGGCGCCCCCCACCCCCTTTCTCGCTTCCCGCCACTGCGGCGGCCAATCACCAAGCAGGAGCCCGCCCCTGGCGCGGCCTCCCGCGGCCCCGCAACTCCCAAACGCCGAGTTTTCGCGGGAAAAAAAATCAGAGCAGCTGGCAGCGCGGCGGGCAGTGGTGGCCGTCCAGGCGCTCCGGGTCGCAGGCAGGTCCGCGCGGGGTCCGGGGCCACGCACGCGTCTCTATCGCCATCCCCAGCCGGGCCAGGCGCGCAGGCAGGAGAGTGGATCGGGGCGGCCGGAGAGGTGAGCCTCCGACTGATCGGGGTGCCATCCTGGGCCGGGGGAAGGGCCCGGCGGCACCGGGCGCGGAGACTTTGCAAAACTTTCGGGAGCGGCCCGGGGACGCGCGGCCAGTACCAGCGCACTCGTGCCCCATAGCGTGGCTGTTCTCCACGCCGTCTCGGGCTCTGCCCCCGCCCTGCCGGCCCTCCGGAGTCGTCCCCCGCGGCCCGGGCGCCGGCAGGGGCGAGAGGAACATACTCAGAGCCCCGCGGGGGTCGCGCCGGCCGGGTGGGGGAGGGCCTGGCGAGCCACAGGGGAGGATGTCAGGCTCCGCGCCTGCGCGCGGGCTGCCCCGGGATTCAATTGTCGCGCCCGAGCCCGATTTCGCGCGCCCTTAGTTCCCCGGGCGCGCCTGGGCCAATGGGGAGCGGACGGGGCGGGGCAGCCGGGCGCGGCGGAGCCAGTGAGCGAGTCGGCTCAAGTGAAGGGGGCGGGACTTGGCGCGCGGGGCCCCTCGGCCTGTCCCGGCGGTGGGGGTGGGCGTGGGCTAGTTGGCGTGGCCCGAGCGAGCGGGCGGGAGAATAAGAGGGGCTCTGGGCTCGTGGGTCGGGGTCCCGGGAACGCGAGCCTGCGCGTGTGGCCGCCGCCGGGCCGAGGTGAGAAGCGCGGCGCGCGCGGGGGCGGTCGGGACGGGGCGGCCGGTTGCCATGGCCACCGCGGGGGCCGGCAGTGTCGCGCACGCGCGCGGGGGGAGGCGGGGGCCGCGGGCACCCAGGGTTGGGGGCTCCAGGGTCGGGGGGGGTGGTCCTTCCCCTTCGGTCACACTTAGTTGAGTTACTGGGACTTCTGAAGTTCCAACCCGCGCCGGAGTTTTGGGTTTTCCTCTTGCGTCAGTATTAATCCAAGGAATGAATGAATGAATGAATGAATGAACGAAGAAACCTGGTTCCTCGCTATTTGGCTGTGTCCTCCTTACTTCTCTGGATCTTGTGTGTCTCCCCCCCCCCCCCCGCCCCCGCCGTGAAAGACGGAGTGGGTTGGACTGAGTGGTCCAAGATGCCGTTTGCCTTCCCCTCATTTACCCTCCCCTCCTCGTTCCTGTGCCGTTGCTGGTCGTTAATGCGTTAATTTCTTCATTTACTCCGCGGGGCCCTGGTCAGCTGTGGCTCTTCCGCGGACCAGCGCGCTGGGAGGGCGTCCTGGGAGCTTCCTAGTGTCCACAGACTGGACAAAAGCCAAGATGACCTGAGCATGGCACGGTGTGGTGGCGGCAGCAGCACCACTGACCCGGGGTCCCGCTCTCTCGCCTTCAGCACCAGCAGATACCATGTGGATCCAGGTTCGCACCATGGACGGGAAGGTGGCCCACACTGTGGACTCACTGTCCAGGCTGACCAAGGTGGAGGAGCTGAGGAGGAAGATCCAGGAGCTGTTCCACGTGGAGCCAGGCCTGCAGAGGCTTTTCTACAGGGGCAAGCAGGTAAACCCGCCCTGTCGGCTGCCGCCCGCCCAGCACCTTTGTTCTTGCCTGGTCCAGGCGTCGTACATATACTCTCCCCGCCCCTCGTCCGGTCCCGCTTCACGTCTCCACAGAAACCTCGAATGCCTGAGCCAGGAACAAAGGCTCCACTCGCAGATCGACATACCGGGCAGGAAGCTGGCACTCCAGTCCGTAGCATTTGGGCTTTTAAGTCTGCCCCCCTCCCCTGTTTTTTTGAAGCTTCTCTCAGTATAATTTCTAGAAAAGGAAGTTGGAGGTGGCCAATGGAGGACTGATGAATTTCGAGGAAGAGCCTAGAATCCTTTCTCAGACAGTAGGACGGAAGGCACCAGGTTTTCCTTTGAAACACACACCGATGGCCCCACAGCTTGCACCTATTTAGAGTTTGACCCCACAGGGTCTGTTTTTGAGAAATTTGGATCAGCTTGTTCAGAGGCTGGAGATGGCGCTTGCTGGTCAGGAATTTCTGCCAGGAGCTCGTGCTTTCCTTGGGTTCTGCGGGCCCCGCTTTTCTGTGTCCTCTCTTCTTGCTCTCTCCCTGGCCCCTGGTAGCGTTTAAAATGGTCACCCTTGCTTTCTCAGCTGCCCACATGTGGGACACTTTCTCCAGGTGTAGTGGGGGGTTTCCGTTTTTGTCTGTGTCTTTGTGGGAGGGGGACGGAGCATCCTACTGTGAGTGAGATTTCCCCTGGTAAGCTAAGATGGTACGGCACAAAGTGTCGGTCCCGTCTGCAGGGGCCATCGTGGAGTGGGGTGCACGGTAGGGACAGCGGTGGCTTAGGGACTGTGCCCTGGATTAAAAGTCTTCAGTTGGGCTGCGCGTGCCTGACTTTGTTGTTGTTGCGTTTTGAACTGGGTACTGCCGCCATCTGGTGTCTCCATTGAGAAATAAACACTCTGCGCCCGGCCGGGATTTTTGGGGGCTGGGAGGATCCAGTTTGCTTAACTCGAAATGAGACCTGATGATTAATTTCTTGGGTTCGTGGTGCCCTTGGGGACCTTTCACCTCCTTCCTGGGAGAGACACGATGACTTGAATGTCTTTAGAAGCTGAGTTAACCCGCCCTGCCTGGGGAGGGGAAGCCGGTCCCGCGGACTCGTTGGCCTCCGCGGTGAGCAAAGGTAGGGCTGTGAGTAAGCTCTGCCGAGGTGCTCTCTCCCGCCGCCTCCGAGGGCTCATCTTTTGTGGTATCCAGACTGACTTCGATTAGCCACTCGATCTCTTTGTTCAGCAGAAGGTCCTTTCACAGAGTTTCTGAGAACCCTCGAGTGTGCCTGCTAAGCAGTTCATGGTGTGTTTCAGAGGTGGATCCGATCGAGTCCTTTAAAGTGGGAGGATCTGGGAGCGCCTGCCACGTGCCAGGCACTGTTGTCACATTTCCATCTGGCAGAAAAGTTGCAAGAGCCACGAACCCCCAAGCACCTACCCCTGGAGCTTGCCCCGACACTCGGCCACATTCCAGTTAGCACGCTTTCTCTGTCCTCCTGTCTGCCCGCCAGTCCGTTGTAGTTTTTGGAGTGCGTTTCAAAATAGTTGCAGACACAGGTTCACGCCAACCCTGAGCACTTAAGCATGCCTGCCATTAACTAGGGTCCAGTACGGGTTTGTGGGTCTCGTTTTTTTTAGGTAACACACATATATGGCGAGATATGCACACGTCAGGCGGACCAATTGGAGTCTGGACAAATGTCTACACCCACGAAACCAAACCCCCATCTCCCTTCATTTGTAACACGAGATCCAACCCATACAAAAGCCCTTAAACGCCCCCTTGGAAAGTTATAAAGCCTGATGATACCAGGAACACCTGGGGGCGGGAGACACGCAGGGTGTACCTTTAATTGGCGGGCCATCAGCGATGAGAGTCGGAGCTTTTGGCGCTGCTTGCTCACAACACGGCTTTCACATTTAGCACAGGCTTCCTGCTTCCCCCGTGACCTCTGTGACTGCCGCCCGATCCCCTGCCTGGCGCTCCGTCCCCACTCGGCAGCTTCGTGAGGGAACGTGCAGTCGTCTCTGTCTTCCGGCCGAGGAAGCCAGGCCTGGAGCGTGATGCAACTTCCCGGGGATGCTGGCGAGGCCCTGGCCTGGCTGCGGGGAGGTGGGACGGCCAGGGTGGAGGGGACACGGACAGACAAGGCTTACGGCGGCACCTCCCAGTGAGCCAGTGAGTCGAGTCTGCAAACAGACTAGGCTAACAGCGATAGAAAGCAGCTTAGTTTCCAGTGGGCGGGGCAAGAGAGCTGTTTTTACAGAATGTTCTAGAGTGTCTTCGCAATCCTTTCCCCCCCTTTTTTTTTCTTCCTCCCTTTTAAAGAAACATGTCATCGCAGTCCAAGGTCTGCAGTGAGGTTGATTGAGATGATAAAGCAGAACATAGTTGAGCCTTTCTTCAGGATATGGGAGGGTTTCGTGGCCGGCTTGTTTGGGCTGAATAGGTTGGCGGTTATGTCGTTTGATTGGCGGAAATGCAAGAAGCCGAATGGGGGCAGGGACCCGGGCCGCAGGCCCAGCCTGGGCAAGGGCAAGAGGCATCTGGCGCCTTTTTCTTGGCTGCCCATAAAAATAACAATAGCTGTCATTTGTGGGGACTCCAGCACGTTCAGGTGCCGGGCTCTGCCTTTTACATAATCTTCCCCGGGTCCCCTGCCCAGGTGGCCGCGGCCCAAGCTCCGAGCAGCTCTCCCAGTGTGGCTGGTGCGGGGCTGGGCCCAGCCAGCTCGAGGTAAAGGCACCGTGAATCAGCTCCGGGTTTCTCCCCGTCGGCCTTGCTGACGTGGGAGGCCGGCGCATTGTCTGGAATTGCCCCCAGTTGAGAGGTACTAATTTAGTAGACAACTGTCATTAGGAAAACGGCGAAATCGGCTTCACTGGCCTCAAAGGCCATGTTAAGGTCCATCTGAAAGATCAGGCTGAAATGGTGCCCTGGGAACGGCCTCGTGAGGGTCACCCGTGTCCTAGCACACCACCAATTCAGAGTGGCCTTTCCCGAGTGCTTGTCCCTGAATTCCCGAAGGGCAGAGCGGGGCAGTAGAGCCCTGTCCTTAGGCTGTGTGAGGGAGGGTCCCCTTCCCTTGGGAGGGCTCCCAGCTGGAGGGCTTGCCCTCTAAGCCAGGCGTCAACAAACCCTTTATGTAAATATTTGTGTCCTCGAGGACGGTTCACCCCTGCCATTGGAGGGGGAAGCAGCCACAGACAGTATGCAAATGAATGGTCATGTCCCGGTCCAATAAAACTTTATTTACCAAAACAGGTGCAGACTAGACCTTCAGGCTGACTGTAGCTAGCCAGTTACGCCCTATCGTGCTTCCATCCAGCGTCCTTAGTTGGTGATCCAGGTTTTACTGTTAGGAACAGCACTGCTGTGGAATGTACTAGAACAGGTCCCCTAGAGCACTGTGTTGCAGAGTTTTTCTGGGGCAGGGTGTACAAGGCGTTTGGTCTCAGGACTCCTTTTCCCCCTCCAAAACCAGTTGAAGATCCTAAAGAGCTTCTGTTGACGGGCGCCTGGGTGGCTCAGTTGGTTAAGCGACTGCCTTCGGCTCAGGTCGTGATCCTGGAGTCCCAGGATCGAGTCCCACATCGGGCTCCCTGCTCAGCAGGGAGTCTGCTTCTCCCTCTGACCCTCTTCCCTCTCGTGCTCTCTCTCATTCTCTCTCAAATGAATAAATAAAATCTTAAAAAAAAAAAACTGTTGATGTGGAGGGGTCACATGTGGCTTTGAGGTGCCGTCCACTCTGCTCGCTCCCCCCAAGTGGGAAGTTGTGCTCCCTCTGCCACATCTGGGCTCCTGCTTCAGGCAGGTTTCTTCTCTCCCATCTCTGTCCGTCTGTCTTGTCTGCATGTTGGGTTGCTGCTGAGCCTGGAGGCTGAGCAGGACAGGTGAGGGGCCAGGGCTACACCCCCAGGAAGGGGGGTGGAGCTGTTTCCTGCTTCCTCCCTCTCAGCCTCCCAGCTCAGCCCAACAGGCCCTCGGTCAATGCTCCCTCTCCTCCTCTAGCTGTAAGTCCTTCTTGGTATGAGGCTCACTGTCCCCTCCACCTCTTGCCAAAACGGCTACTTAGAGCCGACCGACCCAAGAACCACCACTTGCCAAACTCAGGGACGTGTGTTTCCTGCCTCTGGGCAGCACCCGGCACCCTGTAAAGTATCCCTTGAAAATGTTACGAGGGGGCAGAGTGTGGACAGAAACGGTAGACATGGCAAGCTTTAATCTCGGTCTCCACCAGGAACCAACATGCTTAGCTGTCAGATCGTATACGTGTTTACTTCGCTTTTACACGGTGTGCGTGGCCAAAAATTCCAAACGTCCAGAAATGTCCGGAAAGCATACTTGGATTAAAACAGAGAGGAAGACATAAACACTGGGCAGTTCTGTCTTTTGACCTGAATCTGCTGTATAGGGTTACGTGCCCCAAATCATGCGTATGTGTCCTATTAGGTTTGAGGGATTTTCCGTGCAAAGCTTGCTTCTACAAGTTGTCAACTTCAGGTTTAATTTTAACATCAGGACCTCTAACATGAGGTACAGATCATCTGTCGTGCAGTGTTTGTAGCTTTTATTAATACCGTTATTCTTGGTGGGAATTTTTGGATTTGTTTTTTTTAAGACTTTATTTTTAAGTAATCTCTACACCCAACGTGGGACTCAAACTCAACAACCCTGAGATCAAGAGTTGCATGCTCCTCCAACTGAGCTGGCCAGGCGCTCGAGAACTTTCAGATACTGATAATGAATCTGAATGTAGAACATGTTGGTGTGAGGCAGGCCTGGGCCCAGCCTCTCCCCCACTGTGGTTCCCAAACGTTTGTGCACAGCTTTGGGCAGGCAGGGTGGAGGGATAGGGGGACACAACACACACCCTCTCCTACAGCAAAACAGTTGTGCAGCCTTCCTGTTGACTGCAAGGGCCCTTCTGGAAAGTTCTAGAAATGGCCGCAGGAAGCAGCCAGACCAGCTGTACCGGGAGGCAGAGCCGTGTGTCAGCCTCCCCCAGCCTGAATGCCCGCTTCCCTGCTCCGTTTGTGCCTCTGTCTGCGTTCTTGCATTGGTGGGCCCGTTGGCTTCCTCCACAGAGCCTGTGCCTGAGCAAATCTGTAAGCTGATGGAGCCTGGCTTCCTGACCCGTCGTGGGTGTGAGGGGCCCGGTCATGCACCTTGTTCCAGCTTTCCCTCTGCCTCTCCGTTGTCTAGGTGCCTTGGTTTATGCTTTATTTCCCGTCCCCTCATTTGTCCTTGTTTCCCTTGACACGTGCGGGAGTTGCGTCTGCTTTGCTGCGTTTCCCTGTCACGTGCAGCTGTGTGACGAGGCCACTGTTTTCCCCGCAGGTAAGGCTGCCGTGAACGCCCTGTGAGGTCCCTGTACGTGTCTCTTGGGCGCACACGTGAGGGTCTCTCTAGCTCAGTGGTTCTCCCTGGGGGTAATGCTGCTCCTCTGGGGATGCTTGGCGGTGTCTGGGGACGTCACATCTGGGGGTGCTCCTGGCATGGAGTGGCCGGGGCTCAGGGATGCTGCTCAACCCCCCAGAGTGCCCAGGACGGCCCCCCCACAGCGATGTGGCCCGATGTCTGCAGTGCCGAGGGGGTGTCTGCCTCACGAGGTGCTGGGCCCCAGGGTACATGTATCTTGTTCATCCTTTCTAAGGCCATTTGGCCTGCCTTCTGCTGGTTTCCTTGTCCCAGTTACACTGGGAATGCTTGTGTTTCTTCCTCTTTTTAAATTAACATACTTATTGTGAACTTACATATTTATGGGCTCACGTATATTTATCTATTTCTGAGTCTTAGGTGCTTAACAGTATCAAGAGGAAGGTTCAGTGATTTTTCCTATATCCTGCCTCCCACACACCCAGTCCCCCCAGCTACCGGCATCCACACTCGAGTGGCGTGTGTGCTACGTTCAATGAACCCACGTTGACCCATAGTTGACATTAGAGTTCATTCCTGACGTTGTGCCTCCTGTGGGTTTGGACAGAGGGAGGAGCCTCCCGGCCCTGAAGCAAAAGTCCTCGGTGCCCCACCTTGTCTGTCACGTCTCATCCCCCAGCCCCTGGCCCCCACTGATCCTTCTGTCTCCACAGTTTTGTCTTCTCCAGAATGTCACGGAGCTGGCATCACACGGTATGCCCCTGTCTTGGACTCCTTTTTTTTCCTTAAAAAAAAAAAAAAACAATGCTTTACTGAGATGTAATTCACACGCCCTACAACTCACCCACTTCCAGTGTGTAATTCGGTGGTTTTCAGTGTCTTCCGAGTTGTGCAGCTGTCACCATAAGCAATGCTAGTATATTTTCTTCACCTACATACTTTTTAGTATCCCCTTCTCAGCCCCAGACAACCAGTCACCTGCTTTGCCCGTGGATGAGCCTGTGCCGGACGTGTCAGCCACGTGGACTCACACCTCGTGTGGCCTTCCGTGTCTGGTTCCCTCCCTGAGCGTCCTGGGCTCGGGGTCCGTCCCCGGGGACACGTGTGGGGCACCTCTCCTGTTCGTGCCGAGGGACGCTCCCGTGCATGGGGGACAAGTGTGTATGTGTCCCCCCGTTGATGGACGCTGGGTTGTTTCCACCCTTAGGCTGTTGTGAGTCCTGCTGCTGTGAACAGGCATGTGCAGGTTGACTTGTCTCTTCCTTCGCGTCTGTGTCCCCTCTACCTGTTGTCACCGCTGTCCTGTGTTGGCCCTGTGGGGGGGGGCTGGCATTGAGTCTCCCCCACCCAGGCCTCCCCGTGGTTCGTGGGCAGGGCTGGGCACATCGGAGGCTCCCCCCTCACCCCGGACAAAGCCGTGGAGTGGGCCCTAGAAACCCCGTGGCTGTAGGCAAGTGTCGGAGTGTTCAGATGCCTTTTTCTCGGGGAGCGGGGTGACCATTCATCCGATGCTCAGGTTTGTGCCGAATAAAGCCTAGCAGCCACCGCAGTGAAGAGCTTTGGACCCTGGAGCTCGCTTCCCTGTGACCCCAGGGGCTGCTTGCATCTTGATGGCCTTCCAACCAGCAACTTTTGGTAAACATTGGGAAGGAAGGAAAGTTGACTACTCGTGTCTTTATTTCCCTTTCTCTTCTTTTTCTTTAGGAAGCTGCTTCTAAACCGGGTAGTGCTGCCCTCAGGGGACACTGGGCAGTGTCTGGGGGACATCTCTGGTCCTCATGACCGGGAGTGCTCCTGTCATCGAGTGTGTGGGGTCAGGGATGCTGCTCCCCCACAGTGCCCAGGACAGCCCCCCGGAGAACAGCCTGGTCCCGTATGCCCCCAGTGCTGAGGGCAGAGACCTGCCTTAGGGACATCGGGAGAGAACAAGATGCCCTTGAGGGTCCTTGTTGGGTGCCATGGGACAGTTTCTAATAAAAGATAAGTCCTCGGCCTTTTTGCCACCGGGATGCGGCTCAGATGACATAACTCCTTCGCACAACCTTGCCAGGCCGCGGCCAGGGTGGCAGACCTGAGCTGTGCCAGCACACAGGATCCTGTCAGTGACTCGTGTGTGGTTGGGATTCGGAGAAAGGCATTCGTAGAGGGGCGGAGCTAGAGCCAGAGCCGACACGGAAACCGGGGAATGTTGGGTCTGTGTCTCCTTTGGTTCATAGCGGCCAGGGTCTCTCCCCCTCGGCACTGTGAACATCAGGGCTGGATCGTTCCCTGATGTGAGCGTGTCTCGGGCACCATGGGAGGCTGGGGAGCATCCCCGGCCCTGCCCCAGTCGTGACAACCAGAATGATCCAGGTCTTGTCAAGTGTCCCCTGGGGGGCAGGATCACCCTGGGTGAGACCCCCTGGGTCAGGGGATTCCACTGATCATCCCCCTTCCCCCCAGGAGTCTGTGTTCTGTAACCACCTGACGCGCTGAGGTTCTGGGATGTTGCACACGTTGGAATATACACACTGAGTTGGGGGGGAGGGGTGACTCTCCCATGTTGGGGTCACTCTGGTTTACACCGTCTGACCCGTTGGGGATTGATTCCGGTGTCTGGTGTGAGCAGGGACTGGACTTAATTTTTTTTTCTGTAAATAATTAATGCAAAGTTTTTCTGCCTTGACACTGCAGACGTTTTGAGCCTGATCACCCAGTGTTCCCTGGAGGGCAGGCTTGTCCTCAGATTGGCACCAGTGATAAAGTATTGTTATTGTAATAAAAGTGACAAAAGACGGAATATTAAGAAACCCTCCCCTGACATGTGATGGGTGTACCCAGCACGGCTGGTCATGCTGGGTGCTCACAGGACATTCTCCATAGGACGCAGGGAATCCTCATTCGAGAGGCTCTAAAGATCCTGAAGGATGGGGGTGACTGTGTGTACCCTGCCCCCGGCAGTATTGATCTAGATCTGCTGTGATCTAGATCCTGTCCTCCACGAGGGCAGATTTGGTCCTTTGCTCGCCGCCTGTTCCTGCTGTCACCCAGAAGGCGAGCGCTAAATGGCTGGTGGGCTGGTGACCTTTGTCTTGGTGTCTCTGCAGATGGAGGACGGCCACACTCTCTTTGACTATGACGTTCGCCTGAATGACACCATCCAGCTCCTGGTCCGCCAGAGCCTTGTGCTCCCCGCCAGCAGCATCAAGGAGAGGGACTCAGAACTGTCGGACACGGACTCGGGCTGCTGCCTGGGCCAGAGCGAGTCCGACAAGTCCTCGAACAGCGGTGAGGCGGCCTCGGAGGCAGACGGGAAGGCGAGCTTGGCAGATGAAGACACATGGGACGAGACGGAGCTGGGTCTGTACAAGGTGAGTCTCTCGCAGAAGGTTTGGGGTGGAGCGTGCTCCCCGCGTGGCCGCTCTCTTCACCCCCAGGGCCCCGGGTAGCCTGCCCCGTGCCCCTCCATCATCACTGGCTTTCCAGTAGCCCAACCGCAGGGTCAGGCGAGCTGCCCTCCTTCCCTTGGCTGGGCCCCCTGTTCCTGCTGTGCAAATCGCCAGTGGGTGGGCTCCTGAGGCTTCTCTGTGGAGACAGAGTACTCCAGCATCCCCTCGTGATCCTTGACGGCAAGTGTCGTGTCTGGGTTTTGTGGGGATCTCTCTGCCCTTCCCAGTGGAAGGAGAATAAGAAAATCACCAGGCCCCGATGTCAGCAGTGCCGTAGCCAGGAAATCCTATTACAGTCACTTGGGTTTGTGTCCCGATCCTGAAGCATCCAACGCCTGAGAACCCAAGCAGTCTCTGGTCCGTGCTGCTGGTCGGACTTGCCTTCTCTGGGTTGGATGAGAGTGTTTTCTTGTTCCTGGCAGGCCAACGAGTATGTGGATGCTCGGGACACGAACATGGGAGCGTGGTTCGAGGCCCAGGTTGTCAGGGTGACGAGGAAGGCCCCGTCTCAGGACGAGCCCTGCAGCTCTACCTCTAGCTTGACGCCAGAAGAAGACGTCATTTATCATGTGAAATATGACGAGTGAGTGTCACTGTGGTTGGGTGGGCTGGGGTGTTGGCTGTGTCCGTGGGACCTGGAGTTTGGCACGGGCTTGGAGATGATGATTAGGATTTAACCACCCAGGAGGCCACCCCTAGAGGACTGACGTCATGGGGACCCACAGCTAGGCTGAACCCCTCCTCAGGTCATCTAGTTGGAAGTGTGCCCCCCCCACCCCGTTGCCTGTCGTCTTCTGTTCATACTATGTGTCGCCACTGCATGAAGCCCCTCTAGTCTGTTGTCTGTCCCTTTACTGGAATGCACAAGTACTAAGTGCTTAACCGTGTGCCGGGCACAAGGACTCCTTGTCTGTGTGTGTCGAAGAGGTCTTGGATGGGCTCAATGGCCACCACAGGATACTATAGGCTAGGTGGCTAGATCTCACGGTTCTGGAGGCTGGAAATCCCAGATCGTGGTGCTGGCGGGTTCCTGCTGAGGGCTGTCTTCCTGGCTTGCAGCCTGGCTGTCTTCTTGCTGCCCTCACATGGCTGAGAGAGAGAGAGCGCCCTGGTGTTCTTCCTCCTCTTGTAAGGACTCCAATCCCATTGGATTGGAGCACCACCTCTATGACCTCGTTCAACCCTATTGACCTCACCAAAAGCCCCATCTCCAAATGTAGTCACATTAGGGGTTCGGGCTTTACCATGGGGATTTTGGGGGACACAACTCAGTCCGTAAGAGAGGTCAAGTGGTCCTCGCCACTGAGAGCTCACATTCTGGGGGCTGTAGGGGCTGCTTCCCTGCCAGTTTCTGGCACCTCCTCAGCTTAGCTCTGCAGAAATTATCGGAGTAGTTGGATGAATGAGTCAGTCCGCGCAGGACTCCCAGCCTCCTGGTTGGGGTTGTGAACTGCAGCCTTGGGGCCAAATCCCGGGATCTGGATTTATAAAGAAAGCTTTATCAAAGCCCATCGTCGCCCATTCGTTTCTGTTTTCACCTGTGGCTATTTTCCTTGGTTATAGAGTTGAGGATTTAGAGACCTTCCAGCTCACAACGCATCTGACCCTTTACAAGAAAAGTTTGGCAACCCTTGTTCTTGGTGATTTCCTGGGGAAAAGGGAGTGCTCAGCCCTATGGGGAGTTGACGTAGATTAGGGATTCCTCCTCAGTGGAGGTTTAACTTGTTGTTGAGAGAATGTTTCTTTCAGTCCAAGTATTTTATGCCTTTTTTGAGGCTGCTAGAACATTCCTGCGTATCTGGAATAATGAATTCCTATTGTATTCTAATATCCAGTAGGTTAATATAAGCGGAGTGAGGTGGTAAACCCCTATCCAAAAGCCCCTTCCGGTACAGACCGGTGGATGCAGTGCAGGGTTTGGCCTCCACACATGTCCCATGTGTTCGTTCCCCAGGGCTGCAAAAACAAAGGACCTCAGATCAAGTGGCTTGTAATAACAAGTTTATTCTCTCGTTGTTCTGGAGGCCAGAGGTTCAAAATCAAGGGGCCGGCAGGGCACCACTCCCCCTAAAGGCTCCCTCTTTGGCTCTTACAGCTTCTGGTGATGGCTGGCAGTCCTTGGCTTGTGGCCGCATCCCTCCATTCTTTGGCTCTGTCTTCAGGTGTCGCTCTCCATCTGTCTCATTCACTCTTCTTCTAAGGACTCCAGTCACTGGATTTAGGGTTCCCCCCCCACAGTGCGACCTCATCTAAGCTTGATGACATCTGCAGAGACCCCGTTTCCATGTGAGGTACCAAGGATTAGGACTCCCAACATGTCTTTTTGGGGGACACCGTTCAACCCACAACACCTTCTGTAATTTGCGTCCTCTCGGCCTGGGTATTTTCCGTACTGGGAGATGAGATCTTTGGGGTGACCAAGTAACCCGAACCCAAGTCGGCTCAGCCTTTTCTGCCTCGGCTTCTATCTCCCGTCAAGGGAATGAAGTTGGGTGTTACCCCGGGATCTGATAAGGATGGGGTTTTCCTCCCAGCTACCCGGAGAATGGAGTGGTCCAGATGAGTTCCCGTGACGTCCGGGCTCGTGCCCGAAACATTCTCAAGTGGCACGAGCTAGAGGTGGGCCAGGAGGTTATGCTCAACTATAACCCTGACAATCCCAAGGAGCGTGGCTTCTGGTACGATGCAGAGATCCTGCGGAAGCGTGAGACCCGGACGGCGCGGGAGCTGTATGCCAACGTCCGGCTTGGGTGAGTGGCACTCGGCCCTGAGGCTGTCCAGCCAGGGCTCCGGAGGTGAGGCCCTCAGTCCCTCACATCCCTCCACCTGAGGGACTGTCTCTGAACCCCAGGCCCTGACCGTGGAGATTTCAAGATGCTTTTTTCTCTTTTTTGTGTTGTTTTGAATTTGGTGAATAGGTAATAATCTCAAATGTGTCAAAATCCAGAAAGTACTGAAGGAGGAGTATTTTCCCTTCTCTATCCCTTGGTCACCGAGTACTCCTTTCTGGAGACCACTCTCTTCTTGTCATCTTCTGGGGATGTTCGGTGTGTAAGCAAGCATAAACACGTACAGAAGCAAAGCACGTGTAGGACGTACTCCACATCAGGGATCAGCAAACTGCTGTCCACAGGCCAGATCCGGCCCTCTGCCCGTTGTGGCAAATAAAGTTTTATTGGTCACAGCTATGCCCATCTCTTTACTGATTATCTGTGGCTGCTTTGGTGTCGATTAGCGGAGAGAGAGAGGCTGTGTGGCCCACAAAGCCGAAAATACTGCCTGGCCCATTGTAGTAGGTATTTGCCGAGCCCTATTCTACCCTGCCTCTGTGTGTGTGTGCTAAGATATATATATATAACAGAAAACTTAACCATCTTAACCATTTTTAAGTGCACAGCTCTGGCTTGAAGCACGCTCTCATTGTCATGCAATCACCCCCACCCTGTCTCCAGAACGTTCCATCTCCCCACATGGAGACTCTGTCCCCATGAAGCCCGGACTCCCCACTCCTTGCCCCAGCCCCGGCTCCCACCCTCTCCTCTCTGTCTGTGTGGACGGGACTCCTCGGGGGACCTCCTGGGAGTGGGGTCCTGCGGGATGTGTCCTTCTGGGTCTGGCTCCTTTCACTGAGCCCAGTGTCCTTGGGGTCCCTCCATGTTGTGGTGGGTGTCAGGATGGCCTTTTTTGTGGTCAAGTAATATTCCATCATGTGTATCATGCATATGTACACAAATATTGGGGCAACAGTGTCCTGAGTGCAGGCATAGCAAGTGCAAAGGTCCTGGGGCAGGGCCATAGCTGGTGCATTTCTAGCAAGGAAGCCAGTGGGGTGAAGTGGAGGGATTGAGACTGTGGGAGCTTCTAAGCAGCCTGGTCCAGAGAGGTTCAGAACTGGTGTTCTTTCTCTCTTGCTGGCAGCCCCTGGAGCATTTGGGTACAGAAGCCACGTGCTTTGACCTACAATTGAGAATTTTAGCTCTGGCAGCTGAGAGGGGAATGGACTGCAGGGGGCAGCGTGGGAACAGGGACACCAGGGTGGAAACCCACGCAGGCATTTAGGGGCGGGGTCCCGGGGCTCGGACCAGGCTGCAGCTATGTTCTTGTTAATGTCTTCTTTCATTGCTTTTCTCTCTTGTTTTCTTGTTTTCAATTTCATTGATTTCTGCTCTCCTCTTCTAAATTTTCTCCCTTCTCCCTTCTTTGGGTTGATTTTTTTTTTTATTATGTTAGTCACCATACGATGTGATTTTTTTTTTTTTCCTAGTTTCTTGAGGTAGCAACTTAGACTGTCAATCTGTGGCATCTCCCTCCCTAACGCCTGCACTCAGTGCTATAAATTTAGTCCTCAGCACTGCCTTCACTGATCTCCATGTGGAAGTTTGCTGTCGTATTTTTCTTTTTCTTCGCCATTCTATATATATATATATATATGTATGTGTGTGTGTATATATATATATATGTTTTTTTTTTAATTTCCTTTGAGGCTTCCTTTCTGGCTCCTGGCTTCTTTAGAAGTATTGTGTTTAATTCCCAAGTGTTTAGAGACTTGTGCATTGTTCTTCTGTTACTGATTTCTTTTTTTTTTTTATTTATTTGAGAGAGAGAGAACGAGAGATAGAGAACACGAGAGGGAAGAGGGTCAGAAGGAGAAGCAGACTCCCTGCTGAGCAGGGAGCCCGATGTGGGACTCGATCCCGGGACTCCAGGATCATGACCTGAGCCGAAGGCAGTCGCTTAACCAACTGAGCCACCCAGGCGCCCCCTGTTACTGATTTCTAATGTGACTTGATTATGGTTTCTTCTATGGCCCCTAGTAGGGTCTAAGTTGGTGACTATTCTGTAGTTGCTTGAGGAGAAACCAGTATATTCTGTCGTTGGGCAGAATGTTGGCTGGTGGTACTACTCCCTTCTTCGGATTCTTGCTGATTGTCTTTCCGGTTCCCCGTCAGGTGCTGAGGGGGTGCTGGGATGCCCATCTTTGCTGTGAATGTGTCTACCTCTCCTCTTAGCCTCACAGTTGGAGGGCACGGTTGTCTGGTGCACACACACTTAGGGCAGTTATATCCTCCTGGTGGAGAGACCTTTCCATCATGCGATTTCCCTAGCAGTTTCCTTGGCTCCATGTGTGCGTGTACGGACACACCTGCTTTGCTTCTTCAAGTTAATGTTTGCAGGCTGTATCCTTTTCTGTCCTTTACTTTCAACCCGTGTAGTTGAATTTAAAGTGAGCTTCTTGTAAGCGGCATATAACTGGGTGCGTTGTTTTTTAATCCACCCCGGCCTCTTGTCTTTTGGTCGGCACATTCAGACCATTCACACTAGGCGATCATCGGTAGGTTACATCTGCCAGTTTGTCGTTTGTTTTCTTTTTGTTTCCTCCGTTTCTCTTTTTCCATCTTTCCCGTGGGTTACCTAAACACATTTTGGGATTCTGTCCTGATTGTGTATGGTCTTTTGAGTGTATTGCTGTGTATAGGTTTGTTTGTTTCTTTTTTTTTTTTAAAGATTTTATTTATTTGACGGAGAGACAGCAAGAGAGGGACACAAGCAGGGGGAGTGGGAGAGGGAGAAGCAGGCTTCCCGCGAGCAGGGAGCCCGATGCGGGGCTCGATCCCAGGACCCTGGGATCATGACCTGAGCCGAAGGCAGACGCCCAACGACTGAGCCACCCAGGCGCCCCTGTGTATAGGTTTCTTAATGGTTCCTCTGGATTTTACCGGTTGTCCCTTTTGCCGGAAACCTATCTTTACTTACGTCCCTTTGTACTCACGGGGTAGCAGACAGGGTTCGGATCTTTATTTCAGTCTTCACCTGTGACTTCAAGAACTCCTAAGGAGGGCGCCTGGGTGGCTCAGGTCATGGTCCTGGAGTCCCGGGATCGAGTCCCGCATCGGGCTCCCTGCTCGGCGGGGGGTCTGCTTCTCCCTCTGACCCTCTTCCCTCTTGTGCTCTGTCTCTCATTCTCTCTCTCTCAAATAAATAAATAAAATCTTTAAAAAAAAAACTCCTAAGGAGGTTAATCTGTCGTATGTACCCACGTTTCTGCTTTTTCTGTTTTTCTTCTCTTGCTCCTAAGATTCCTTCCTGTATCATTTCCTACCTGTTTGAGGAGCTTTCTCCCTTATCCTGTAAGGGTGTGTCTGCTGGCAATGGATTCTGTTAATTGTCCTTCACTGAAGAGTGCTACTGCTCCTGTCGTACTGGGGTGGCTCTCAAGCATCGATGCATTTCATCCATACATGCTTTACAATTC